GAAGGAGCAGAGATGACGACCTTCTTGGCACCACCCTTCAAGTGAGCGGAGGCCTTCTCCTGGGTGGTGAAAACACCAGTGGACTCGACGATGTAGTCAGCGCCAGTGGTGCCCCAGGGGATGGCAGCGGGGTCACGCTCAGCGAAGAAGCGGATCTTCTTGCCGTTGACGATCAGACCCTCCTCGTAGGTCTCGATGGTGCCCTTGAACTGGCCGTGGGTGCTGTCGTACTTGAGCATGTAGGCCTATCGCAGATTCACTCCGTTAGCCACTTGCTTCTTGTTGATGATGTGTAGCAGACAATGTATGAGGCAGAACGTACAGCATAGTGGGTCTCGATGAAGGGGTCGTTGACAGCAACGACGTCAACCTCGCCGTGGTTGATGCTGTGCAGCCAAACATGTCAGTATAACGTTCTCGCAATGTCGATTAGACTCCATAGGTCCCAAACTAGGGCCATCGAGTGACGGTGAAAGACGGCACTCACGCGTTACGGAAGACCTGTACACCCATGTTAGTCTCTTACTACCCGGAAGCAGCAATGAGGGAAGAGCAACTTACGATACGTCCGATACGACCGAAGCCGTTGATACCGACCTAAATGGCATTGATGTGAGTATACAAGATCATCAGGCTGGTAGATAGCTGGAACCACGCCTGGTAAGTCATTGGCGTACCTTGGGAGCCATTGTGTAGATGTGTCTGTTCGGCGGGGTAATAGGTCAGTCAAAGCTTCGTGATGTAATGAGAGGGAGATGATGTGCAAGATGCAAAGCCAGATGGGAGGGGAAAGACTCACTTGAGGGTGAATTGGATGGAAAGAGGACAAATGTGATGAGGAGAGGATGGATGAAGAAGAAGAAGAAAGTAAAAGGGAGGAAGGAAAAGTTCAGCGGCGGGGGAGGGGAAGTAGAAAAAGGGTAGAGGGGGAGGGAACCTCAGGACTGACGCAACGACCAGGTCAGGCCTTCTACTGGGTCCTCCGCTCCTGGAGGAGGTACAGATGCCGCGCCCAGTCGAATGCGCACACCGGGGAGACAGACGGGGCAAAAGCTACCTGAGCTCTGCCACGGCATGAAGATGGGTCAATTGTCAGCTGGGATTCCCGGCTTGCGCCGCTCCCCAGTTCCCCAGCAGCCCTTTCCGGTTTCATACACCGGGCAAAGCAGGAGACTCACGATATTTGGATCTCCTGCTCCCCCTCGGCAGCTGCCGTACCGACCAATGAGCGTGGCCCCCCTCCGTCACGCCGGGTACTCACCCTTCACTATCTCGATTCTCGAGAATATTTTGCCAGTTCGTCGGGTTCAATTGATACCTTCTACCTAGGTTATACGGAACTCCAGCTCGGGACAACGGGTCTATCCCCCGGGTTTTTGTTACGATCCTACCCGTAGACTGCCGCGGAGGCGAGGAACCGGACGAGATGAGATGATGTAATAGAATCGGCCCATCCGTAGAGTCAAAATACCATAGTAGTATTTACTAGAGAGTCAGTTGTTATTATTATTATTATTCACTCCAGAAAATAACTGCTAACTACCTCTTTCAACCCAAAAAGAGGGGCAGTGCCGGCCTTGCCGCTTTCGGCCCGTGATCCCGGTGATGGAATAACGTTAGTCCTGTACCCCTCCATGTTGGAGTCGCGTGGCTGGACCCCAAAGGCGGTACCTTCGCCTTCCCCATTCTTATTATTCTGGCCCCTCTTGGGTCTCTCCCGTCACCCAAATCAATTCACCGGAGTCCTCACCGGTCATCACGCGCTTGATCATATTTTTTTCTCTCTCCTTTCTGGAGCGGGATGAGTGGGATGATGGCTCCAACGGTTCATCTCATTCGGCCGGGCGCGCGTCTAATTGCTTGAAAGCTACGGATCCATGGGGAGGGGGGGCACAATGCATGCATATTATTGCTGAGGGTACCCATGTCGGTGATGCTCTGTTCTCTTTCAAATACTCCAACCAAATGGACGAATCCGATATGTCAGATGCATGATAACGGATGCATGTGGCTTTGATTTGGGAATTAACTGGCTGGGACTTTTCTTTCTTTCCGGTACAATAACATCAGTGGTACCGTAGCATAACTATCTATGGCCGCCCAAAGGCCGCGCACCAAGGTTTGTCCCTACATACTACTAAGTATAATTCCACGCCACAACGGTGTGCTCGGATTTATTCAATTGGCGACATCCATGACTTGGGAGTGTAGCACAACTCCAAACGGCGCTGGTTTGACTCGGGTTTCATGATCATGCTGGCGTGTCAATGTCCAGGGTCGCGGAGACCGGGAGATGGTTCTAGTACTTTCTACATATTGCTGAAAAGTGGCCCCATCCAGCCTCCAGCCTTACATGGGGTAAATGCACCAGGTTACTTCAAGCAAGTGACACGGTGTGGCCACAGCCCGTATTGCTTAGAAATGCCTTCATTGTCTTCACCGGCCACCGATGTTGGTATGTCAGGAGACGCAAGCCGTGAGACAACAAAGCATCGGCAGGTACTTCGCCACTCATCATCATTTCCGCTCCTACCTGGTTGGGAAGCCATAGCGATCAGGGATTTCTAATTATCTATTCGCCCCCTGACTCATGCTGCGGGCATGGGAGAATATGGGACATGAGGTCACCACTGACGTGGTTCTATTATATTTGATAGTAAGCGGTCATTGCGAATGATATCGACAACATGCATAGTCGTAAAAGTCTCCCATCACAGCAGCCAAGAAAGCCAGTGTGAAGCCAGAAATGCGCAAATTCAAAGTGAATTCGCGCTCACTCCATTGAAACCACATCTATAAATACACAGGAGGCAAGGCCTAGCAATATCTCTCGCGCTCCTTCCCCAGAATCTGTCACCTTACTCCTCCTTGACACCACCCCTCCAGTTCTTCTCCGCGCTCTCCACGGAGGCCTTGTCGCTCTTGATCTGGCCCTGGTTCAGGAAGCTGTTGTTGGCCTTGAAGGGGCGCTGGAGATCACCGGTCGCGGGCTTGCCGAAGACGTGGATCTTGACCAGGTTCGACTCGAAGGCACCCTTGAGGGGGATGATGGACTGGATCAGGAGAGGGTTGGTGTACTTGAAGTAAAGGTGCATCACACCCATCATACCCACACCCATCAGCTGGCTCCTCATAAGCTGGCGCAGCTGTCCCTTGTCGTACTCCATGTTGGTCGTGGTGACCGGCTTGGGCTCCTCGCCGCTACCCATAGGGGCAGGCTCCACGTATTTCAGGGTAGTCAGATCTGATCGCAAAGTATTAGAGAACCGTAGCTTAATGAAAACAGAATGAAAAGCATACCATTCTTTTTGTTGATCTTCGACTGAGTGTACAGATACACTCCCAGAATGATCACGTTGGACAAGATGTACATGCCACGGACCAGCATCAGGACATCGGGGTCCTCGAAGGGAACCTTCTTCGCCAGCTGCATCATCACCACGATGATGGCCAGATTGGTACTGCAAGACAGGCGATATATCAGTCATTATTCCTCCGATAGCACCACGATATAGCAGACCATGGTCGTTCGACTCGCGTGCAAAATAACGCAGGAATCACTTACACTTGAGGAGACACCATCTTGCCGATAGTACTGAGACCAGGGAGCCTTGAGAAGTGAGGAGCGGCACACGATGATGTGAAACTGGGGAGGATGGGGAACGCGTGCGCAAGGACAGAAACTTCGAACTGCGGAACTGGAGCCCCGGGGAAGTCGGACAGCTGTCCAGATAGTGAGAATCACGTGATTGCTCTTGACCTCTCTTGGCTTAGCCGTATCAGTGTAAGGCGTAAGGGAAGATAGCGGCGATAAGCAAGTGATTAGCAGTTTTATTACCTGATTCGGCGGTTCAAGGTCTACTGCAGCCTCAGGCATACAGCCCCCCGGACAAGGCAAAAGGGCACAGATCACCTGGTTGCTTAGATAATCCGCTGAGCAACTATCATGGTCTGCACACTCTCCTGCCAACCTCTGTTATATCGCTACGAACGTGTGCAAACCCCCCACGTTACGGTTTAAGAGTCTCTATGTCCTCTCTCCGCCGATTAAACCTACTGGTGCAAGTATATTGATGCAATTATATTTGCTCACAAGTGTGGTATGTCTGGCATTTGGGGATTCGACTACTGAGTGACTCTACCCAGCAATGGCGTGGACGCTCAGCCCCAGCCCCATGCGCCCGATAAAGCCAGGCCTTCAGAGCTTTGGCTGAAATGCTTTCTCGGGATTATGACAAGATACAAGTACTCGAAGCTTGTACTTCGCTGCCTTTGCAACGGCGACCAACAACCACCTCGCCCGTTATGACATCTCCGTGGATGGAAGCTGAGCAGGTTTCCTAAAACGGACTAGCGCCACTCGACGGTCGACGCCCGTCTTTAGCGACCAGGATGGCTCTGACATTTCTGACTCCTTCATCCATCAACAACGCGCGTGCTTGTGCTGCATCGGATCGCACCAACATCCACCATCACGTTCTACCACTTCCAATACTCGACTGACGCGACATTTTCGCCCCTGCGGCCCCAAATCTCGACGCTTTTGCAAAATGCCTGGTGGAAAGGGAAAGTCTATCGGTGGAAAGGCCGGCTCCAAGGACTCTGCGGGGAAGAGCCAGAAGTCCCACAGCGCAAAGGCTGGTCTGCAGGTCCGTATTCGTCTTTTTTTTCTCCCTGCAGGCATATGACATTTGATCCATCCCTTGGCGTCTGGCGGCGACATACCACTGAAACCGTTACGGCGTGGGATTTTGCTTTTTGCCTCCTTTGCCCCTCGCGATCGCCTTTTCGTTCGCAAAAGCACGCGTATAGCTTTCTTTAATCAAACTTAATTCCTTCAAGAGCTATATCGCACCGGCTTGTTGCGGTTCAGGCGACTGGGTTGAGAGGGGTGGCGGTCACGATCCCTCCCGTATCCACCTTCACATCAAAGCTTCACTTCACACATTCAAGCCTATCTACTATCATCAGTCCCATTCGCTGACAGTATCTCTCAACCACAGTTCCCTTGCGGTCGTGTTAAGCGCTTTTTGAAGAACAACACCCAGAACAAGATGCGCGTTGGCGCCAAAGGTACGACCCTTTTATCTAAGCCTACAGAAGGCGCACCTTCCTTTGTCTTCTCTTTCAGCCATGCTGACAAATCCCGTTCGCAGCCGCCGTGTATGTCACCGCTGTTCTCGAATATCTGACTGCGGAAGTTCTCGAATTGGCCGGAAACGCTGCCAAGGATCTCAAAGTCAAGCGTATCACCCCGCGTCATCTGCAGCTCGCTATCCGTGGTGATGAGGAGTTGGATACCCTGATCCGCGCCACTATTGCCTTTGGAGGTGTTCTGCCGCGCATCAACCGCGCGCTCCTGCTGAAGGTGGAGCAAAAGAAGAAGAGCAAGACTGAGGCTTAAATGATGGTGGATACCCGACGAACTCCGGCGTTTGGTGATTGAATGATCGTTAAAGGGAAAAAAAGCTAGGAACGGGTTCTTTATTGTGATCATGATACTACTTCCAACCCCCCTCTGCAAAATCACGCCCGAACAGGGAGGCAAGGAAATCAGGTCACGTCCTTCTGACGAACACAAAAGCCCACCTTTTATTCTCGTGACGCTGCGAAGCTCGAGATGATTATTTCCAAGTTCTTCCTTGCTTCCCCCCATCTTTTATTTTACTATTATTATTTTATCTCCCCTGACAGCTTGATGTCTTTTGTGTGTATTCCGTGTTTCATGTCAAATTTTCCAAGGGCGCTGTAATGGGAAAAAGGGGATATGTTTCGGTAGTGGGAAAGTTATTATTTATTTATTTATTTATTTTCCATGACCTTTTCTTTTCTTATCATTTTTTACCCCTTTATGTTTTCTGTACTCTCTGTTTTCTCTAATATCAACGGGTCTGTACGAGTTTACCTTATTCACCGCCTTCCATTATCCTCTTTTACTTCCTTCTATATGTGACCCATTCATTAATTCATGCCCCTGCTGATACTCCAAAGAAATGGGTGGGGTGTGAACATGATAGGAGTCGTACTACATGTGTATGGTGTGAGTAGAAGATCTTAACTATCTTAGTGAACTGAATGAAATACTTGAACCAGCTTGTATGAATTGACACACTAGTACCACACATAGTACTACGTATATTCACGCCTGATATCATATCTAACACTTCGCGTTAGTAAGTACTAGTTGAGTTGATAAGTAGTTCCCGAGTGATCTACATACATATATTGAAACGCTACTTGTTACTAGTAGTAGTAGTAGTACTACTACTACTACTACTACTACTACTACTACTACTAATTGAACCGAAACACGGATGCGATTGAGCATTGGAAGTGAATGAATGAATGACGTCTCTATACCTAGTACTATATGCTATACTACAGTCTAGTAAGTCCCGAAGCGACCATGATGAAAACAACAACTGAACTGATCAATCAAGCTCTGTGAGGGTCTGAAGGAGAGAAAGAGGGATGGAGAGAGTCAACAATATATAAATACAGTAAACAACAGCTAGTAAGTTGAAGGGAGGTATGGCGATCTGAATGGCAAGGTAGATAAGGGAAGAGGGTGATGAGCCCACCTAATGGCAAGGGAAATATAATCCGGCCAGACCGCCGTCGGGAAAAGGGATAAATCACGAGACGTCATCAAGTCGGACAATATTGCAAGAGTTGTCATTTGTCCACCTAGATAGTTGCCCGGGCATTCTCATCCCTAGATAGATACCCACAGGCAAAACTCTCCCCCTCCAAGAAGCTGCAAAGAATGCAGAATATCCGCCCATTCGATTCGCCACTGTATCTCCCCTAACGCACGCCATGCAAGTCATCAAGTTTTTTTTTGAATTACACCTGCAGGTCAGGGAATTGAAAAATTGTAAAGAGAATGAATGACCCGTCCTCGGCCACAGCCACATTGCATACGATGTGGTATGCCGACAACGTTCCGTCAATTCCCCCACTCCCACTTATCACAGGGGCTCCATAAAAAAACACGATTAGAGGAGATGAGAGAACAAAAGCACATTGGACACGTCTGACAGAGAAATAAAAACATTAAATGATGCAAATTGCCCCATATACAAAGTGACAAACAAGTAGATAGAAGGAGATAAGTAAAAGGTTAAATGCAAATGCTGGTGAGTCATTTCTCTTGCCATGGGCACACAAAGACATCCGAATCCCGTTTTGTTGTCGTCCTTCGTAGCCATCCAGGTGTTGATGATTGGTTTTATATTGCTTTCCGCCGACACAATTTGTAGAAGGTAAAAAGTAAAGAGTAAAATGGAAAAAAAAAGTATAGATAAAAAAAAATGTTCCTGCATGCAAGGCGCCCGCGTCTCAAATAGTCCACAGCTTTCTTTTTGGGGAGGTCTTTATTTTCCGCGAAACAAGGAGAAAAGCATAAAAAGGTTGCGTTCAAACAGCGTGCCTGCTGGGCTGCCCCAAAATAACGTCTAAACTTGGCTAGATCAGAGAAATATTCTTTTGGTTCTCTCGGTTGAGTGTCATCTCGTCATCCCTCATCGAATCGTAAGCCAATAATCGCAGAACAGGATCAGGCCTCGTGATATAAGAGTCGTATGCATCTTGCGGCAAAGCAATCTAACAAGTTTCGTCGTCTTCGTCTTCCCATCAAAGTGTTTACTCCACAATAATCTCTACACCAGAGCTGGTGCGTAACTCGTCGCTTCCGCGCGATTGGTGTCCGTTCTGGCGTCGAAATCCTGGACCTTTCTCGGGCATCGGGCCTCTCGGCTGCCTAATGGGCATGCGCTCCTGTGACTGACCGTCAAATCCAACTCCGATGGATCGGTTACTACCGATGGGACCAGCGCTAGAGGGCTGACTTTCTGGCTGCTCCCAAGAGAACATACCCCGCAATCTCCTCGGGCTCGCATTCGGCCCACCAATTCCAGTGCCCAGAGAGAGGCTACTGAGGCTGTTAACCAACAGACTGTCGTCGCGCTGCATACCGAGGGAGGAACCGGAAGGCGCGGACGTAAGCGTAGGGGTGTTGGAAGTGCCGCTCGTGGCACCATCGTAATGTTGCAGGCGCGCACCGTTAGACTGCAGCGCTGCAGGGAAGCTGGCAGAAGAGGGGACGGGGGATGGCGTGTAGGAGCGTAGGTCTGCAAACGACTTGGCGGCTCGAAGGTTCTGCGTGTTGCCAAAGTTGCCAGGGGAGTCTAAGACTCCCAGGAAGCCAGCAGAAGGCTGACCGCGCAAAGTGTTAAAATGAGTGGGTCCGTCGTTGCGAGACTCACTGAAATCAATGGTTGCGGCGCGGTTCAGTCCACGACGAGCGGTCTCCGCTGGCTGGACAGCGGCAGGGATGGACGACAAGGGAGGGCTAACGTTGGTGCCAGGAGCGACCTTGAAAACATGCACCTGCCGCTGATCACCTGATCCCCGAGACGCATGGCCTAGGCCCATGTTGTGAGCAAGTGTATGAACGGTGCGGCGCTGGACAGGAGAAAGGTTGGACGGGAACACGAGGGTATCACGCGCCGTATCTTCCTTGAAGAGAAGTAGCTGCGAGTAGTACGAAAGCGTTGTGCTATCGTTCAAGTCGACCTCTGTAGATACGCGAGATGGGTTAGCGACTTGCAGAAAACAGCATAAGGGTGTGAGAAGCCACCTACCCAACTTTTGGCCACGCTGGGAGACGGGGGACGGGGAGGTAGCGGGAAGGTGCGAGGTGAGAGACGACATGGAACTCTGAGTCTGGAGCTGCGAGGTCGCCATGGGGCGATGCTGCTCTTCCAGCTGACCACGACGCTCGCGCTTCTCACGCTCAATCCGCTCCCGCTCCTGCAGCGGCAGCATCTTCTTGTATTCAACCCGCAGTTTCCGACCCTGGAGCTCGAAATGGTTGAGGACCTCGATGACGGTTGCGGTCTCTTCAGCAGAAGTGAAGTTGGCGAAAGCCAATCCCCGGAAGACGCCGTTGTCGAAGTGGTAGTTGAAGGCGTAAGGCAGCGGCAAGTTGAGCTCAGTCATGAGCTGCACCAGCTGCTCCTTCTTCACCGCAAAAGGAATGTTCTTGATGACAATGGCGGTGGGAATCAACTCGTCCTCCGCTTCCGACGGACCACCAGAGGCTTCCGGGCGCATCGCGCTGCTTTGGAGGGGACCGGGACCGAGGTTGGAGAAGGCGCTGGGGATGCCAGGCTGCTGATCAAGCCATGTCTACTCGTTCAGTCAGCAACGCCAATTCCATCAAATTCTTTCCATCCGTGCACGCAATTGAATACATACCGTTGGCAAGCCTGCCCTGCCAGTGCGCGAAGTTGTCTTGAGGCTGGTCGAAGCCGACCGAATGCCTCCGAGAGCTTGCGCATTGGCAAAGCCGTTGGGGTTCCAGGTCTGGGAGCCCGCCAGATCGTAGGCGTAGGAGTTGTTGTGCAGCGACGAGTTCAGGCGCTCCAGCCGACCGGTGTCGTAACGAGCCATGTCGTCATACAGGTTCACGGGCATAGGGCCATACGCGTCAAACTGACGAGAGGGTTGACGGTGCAGCGGCTGCTGGTGGCGTTGGGAGCCAGGAGAACGCGCCGCGGAGTTATCGTGGTACATGTCCTGGGCTTGTTGATAGCTCATGGCGGCGAAAAGATTGCAGAATCCCTAGAAGCAACCAAACCGAGGAATGTGGGCACTGAGATCCACCACACAACAAACCCTTTCAATAGATCGCAACTGTTGTGTCTGGCGAAACTACTCCAACATAGGAGCGACCGGACAGGCGCTGGACACTAGCGGAGAGGAGGATGTCAAACCACACGTGGTCGAGGGTGTTTGCAAGGTCGAGAAACTCGTAGCAAAATAGGGTCAACTTCCGAGGGGGAGGAGGGAGTGACCGATCGTTGAATGACTGCGGAGAGGAAAAGCGCGGTGGAAGCGACGAAAACCGGAAGAAAAACAAGCAAAATCGCTCACAGCTGCTGAAATAAATCTCTCGTGACTATTGGGTCATCAATGGCCGTCGTATCCTTTAGCATGAAAATGTTAGGAACTATTTTTTCTTTGTTTTTTATGCTTTTTCGTTTTATGTTTTGTCTTTCGCTTCTCGAGACCCTAGGGGCATCAGAAGAAGGCAGGGGAGGGAGAACTCGGGAAAAAGAAAATCGGGGTGCGGGAAAAATACGAGGTAGCAAGAGAAGGAAGAAATGGAAAATAAACGGAGCTTTAACACGGGAAGAGGAAGATAAGGGTGAAAAAAGGAAAACGAGCTGCCACTACCTGGGAAGGATAAGCAGTGCCCAAGGCTTTTTGACGGCCGAACAGAGAGAGAGAGAGAGAGAGAGGGAGGGAGGGAGAGAGGGAGGGAGAATTGGGAGGAGTGAGGGGGAAGGGAAGGAAAACGAGGAACGAGCAAGCAGCAGGAGGTGGTCCAGGAGGAGGAGGAACACCAAAGGAATCTCACTCTTTGGCTGCAGTTGCTGCTTATTGCTGCTGGTTGCTGCTGGGGGGGAGAAGGGAAGGGAAAGGGAAAGGGAAAGGCACGCCCGCCAAAACGGCACGCAGAAAGAAAAGCCGGCAACACCGCGACCGCTTAGTCGGGTCCGGTCTGGTCTGGTCTTTTTTTTTCTGCTCTTCCGCGAATCCACACCCCAAGGAAGGGAGAAAGAGGGAAAACAAAAAAGAAAAATTGAAATAAAATAGAAGAAAGATTGATGGGGATGGCTGAACGCACTCTGCTGCACTGCACTGGATAGATCGTGCGGGAAATGTGATGGAGAGAAAGCAACGAGAGAAGCGCGGCTTGCCCCCAAAGTCAGGAACACCCGGTCTGACTCCCTAATTCCAACAATAGATGAAACTGTCAGAAGGATGTTGGAGATGGTAGAAAGACAATAGCCAGCGAATGTTAAATAAGGGCCACCCTACCCGAAACGGATGTTGAATGGGTAAGTAGTAGGGGAATATGGGGGAGATGGGGGGGGAAAGAGGATGATCAACACAAATAGAGAGAACTGAAGACTGGTAGAACTTTTGGAAGGGAGGGGGGAACGAGAAACGAAACCACAGAAACCAAACACAACCAGAGAGAGACAGAGAGAGACAACCAAGGTGAGAGCGAATGGGATGAAGGGATTCCCGTAATCCAGAGTCAGATGGGGGACGGCACGGCGGACGGGGAAGATCGAAGGTATCCAGTGGGATGTCCTTCGCTAGTGGCTCTTACTTTTTTTTTTCTTTTCCTTTTCCCTTTTTTATCCTTCTTCGTCTCTGGTGCTGCAGCAGCTTTTCTTATTTTCCTTCAATTTGTTGTGCTGCTAGTAATTCTTCCCTTTTTTTTTTCCTAATCCTTGCTTTTCGTTGCTTTTTGTGTTTGGGTTCGGATCGGTGCTTTCTTTTTTGCTTCGATGGTGGTAGAACCTTGATCCTGATATCACCGGGTGATGAAGTCACTAAAAGACGGCCGTCGCTGATCGGAGATGTCTGCGCTTCGTTTGCCCGCCTTGACTCCTCTTTGAGCTATCTATGCCCGTTGCGCGTGTTTTCTGCACAGCTCGTTAAGTGGCGGGAGGCAAAAAGAAAGGAAAGAGGAAAGGGAAAAAAAGGCGAGTCCCGGTAGCGTTGGGAGTGGAAGAAGTGGGAACAAATTCAGAATGGAGAATCTGAGGCTTTGCCCAAAAGGGGAGTGTGATCCTGATTGGTCCAAACACACAGGCAGGTCGAATGAGTCCAACAGGAACAGGATGGATCAGGTGGAGGAGGAACAGGGCGAACAATAGAATGGAGGATGCGGATACAGATGCAAGAACAAGAATAAATAATGGGAAATAAGAAAAGATAACAAAAGAAGTAAATGTGAAAAAAAAAAAAAAAAAAAAAAAAAAAAAAAATAAAAAAAAAAAAAAAAAAAAAAGAGAGAAGAACAAAAAGCAATGCTAACTATTTGTCCAACCAAAAAAGCAGGAAGGTGGATCACCAGATGAATGAGAGAAATCCAATGGTGGTTAGTAAAGTTAGCAATGGAAGAAGCTGAAAAGTGTTGATTCAGATTGCTTGATGGTTCTTGTTCTTTTGGCTGCTGTGCATATACGGAGGGGGGCGAATGATATGACTCTTGGATAGGCAGCTGGTACTTGCCATGTACTTAAGTACCTCTACCGACAGCAGAGTGGCTGCCAGGTACCTATTCAGTATTAGTAGAAAGAATGGGGTACCTTTTCCTCTCTTCTGCCTCCCTCCGGCTGCACCGCCCATCCGGTACCTTCCTCGAGCACTAATTTACCATCTATCATTTCCCTTCGTTCTAACTAGCAGTATTACAGCCGTATTTTCCTCGTTCTCCGTTTCCCCCCTCCCTTTGCGATTTCCCCCCTGGACCCTCTGGTGTCGCTGGTTGCCAGAGAGAATGGAAGTACGAAGGCCCAGCTAATAGAAAATTGACTCAAAGGATACTTTTTCTCCATCACCTTCCTCCCTGCTTGCTTGCTTGCCTTGATCTGAAAATGACAACACCCCCCCCCCCCTGATCCTGATCTAGAGCAACTATCAGTATTTCATCATCATCATCATGTGCACTTCTCTAATTTTTCCTTCCTTTGGGGCGTTCTCTTTGTTCCAATTCTTTCGCCTTTTCCCCTGTCATCCCCAGGTTTGCTGATCCCATTAATAAATCATCTCCTCTGGTGATTACCTCCTCCGCGTCATCGTCAACCCCTTCTCCGTAGCCAAGCCATATCACGGACAGTATGGTCCGTTCCCCCTGTCGCAATGTTTCAGACTCTCCGTCAACGTGTCTCTCCGTCCCTGAGAATCGATACCGGAGCACTCAGGACACCTCACCCCGCCTCGAATCCTCTCCTCTCTTCCCCCCCCTCTTGCCACTTCCGGCAGCACGGGCTACCTTACCTACTGGACTCCCTCAGGAGCAGGTCTACTACTAGGAAAGTTAGAGTGAGCGGAGGTCTGTCATCACGCATGACGCACCAGTTCGAAGATCGCATCCTCTTTTCGTTGTCGGATGTTTTCCGGACAATCGCAGGCCATTTTCTGCCTCTTGGCTTCCTTCTGAATCGAAACCCCATCTAGTCCACGAAAAAGACTGTGCTGAGTAGTCCCGAAAGGTTCCTGACTGATGGTTCCTATCCGGGAAAAGCTGCCAGCTTTCAACGCGTCCCTACTCCCTAGGGCCAGACTATGGTGGGTTCGGGATCCGCCTGGAGTGGGTAACGGATGCCCTATAGCTTCATCACCTCTCCGAATAGGGGAAGCTCCTGTATTCGCGAGCTCTTGCAGCTTCCCCGTTTGTCCGTTGGTTCGATGTGCAGCTGTTATGCTACCTCAATTCCTATATGAAATTTTTCTACCAAAGCAACATCTTAACCATCATCTGGAGAACACCATTATGCAACACCATCCTGATAGCCATCGGTTATTCCATGGGAGGAAGATGATAGCCAGCTGACCCCCTACGCTGGCCGGGGGATCATACCTGTCACTCGGAATCTAGCAGACCCCTGATGAGCGGTTAGCGGTGCTTCCGTCCAGTTTTCTTCCCTTCCCTGCAGCCGTCATTTCGAGGCAGGTACGGAAATGCTGTTAAGATTACCCCGTGCTATAATTATCGTCTGGACATGACATTCCCATCATTTCCCCTCTATTTACCTGACACGCAAGTCTTGAACGCATTCCATGGCTCTCGATATATGACGGGGATTTAGGACTACCCTAAAAATTCCTCCCTATCCATTTCTGGGAAATTGATACTTACCATACAGGATTTAGGTAGGTAATTTTTTTTCCCCTGACTTTTCTTCGATTCGGCTCCCTCAGGGCATCGAGACCAAGCCTAGTGACCCATCACCTTCCACGAATAATCGAAAGTGCAATTGCCGCAATAGTAGTACATAGGTGGCGAGGTCATTTTCGAGGATCCGCAAGGCCTCGGTGTTTGGCTTACTACAGAGTACTATGGCCACTACTCCTATGGGGGGGGTAAACTGGACCCAATATTGGCGGTTTGGGATTAACACCCCGAGCTAGAACCCGCTAGAGTGTCACCAGAACCTGTTGACTGGAGACGTCAGATTACCATGCGCTCTTCTCGAGCAAGCGCCCGAGATGGGATGTTGTCCGCCCGATATTGCTATGGAGAGAGGCCCGCTGCATCTGGCGCCTCCCACGCAGGCTAACAGCAGGCCGGTAACCGTAAGCCATCGGAGGGATCGAGATGATGAAATTCCAGCACGTACGTATTCGGTTTCGGTACTTGTACCTGATGGGGGGCGCCCTAAGGGTAATTTATGAGGCCGACTGGGCCAGTCCCCGTCGCATAGCCTACCGGGGAGTTCTGGGGGCGATCCCGGCGCGAGCTAAACTCCCAAGCGTTTCTATAGAACATTCTTAGTCCGTTCCCAAGTCCACCAAGAGCGATTCCATTCACCTTCCAGGCAAATTGGACTGGAGCCCGCTAGGAACCACGAGCCGGCCTAGTGCGCAGTCGATCTTGCTGATTGGAAGCTTCGATTTTAAATAACTGTAACGATGGTGTGATTCGCTCCGTGACCGGTGCCGATAGGGGGAGCAGCCCGCTCCGGGCCATCTCGACCGCTTTACGTGATCCTTTTCGTCGGAATCGCCAGGGAATTGGTCAGGGAGTGAGTAGGTGAAAAGGGAGGGGCAGAGATCCAGTATGTACACAGTAAGTCAAGTGCATGCTGCCATTGTTGTTATTGCAGGCGGTGCAGAAAGTGAGTGGGTGGAAAGCAAGCGAGTGGTCCGCTCTGACAAATCCGATCAACAGACCGCAGGTGTGGGTTTGGTTTCCTGCCCACCACAAGTGTTGCGCCTGAAAAAGTAGCTCACTGTGTTACTGAGTACTGTACAGGAAAAGTTTCGGATCATCGAAGACTATTCAATGTGCAGTGTAATTCCGGCCACTCAGAATGGTTGTTCGATGCTTATAATTAGCACCAGGCACACTCTGAAAGCGCTACGGAGAATAGTCTCAAGAGTTAACCGGCGACGACTGCCTCACCCTCATGAATCAATAGTCAGGGCACCAAGGGTATCTACCCAATCTTAAGAGAGTAAAACGCCAGTGCGGCAGTGCTGCATCATGATTTTCTGTGGCAATGGTGCGAACAATGAAAATCAGGAAAAGCACGACTAACACATTTGTATGCCTCATATTTCGTTGCCAGGAAGCGCTGATCATCGAGAAAGGACTCCCTTATTTTCTGCCAAGTTACAATTGCTTACTGACTGCCCAAGTATTCGGTGACTGACTGACGGATGGACTTGATTTGACCGAACAGAGCTGCCAATCCTTTCAGCCGAGACATTTTGCCCTTTTCAGCAGGCAAGTCAGATCACTATCCATTTCTTGCAGGTCAGGGCCACTGCTGCCCACAGTGGGCTATGCAATATTTCTTGTATGCTTTGCAGCGGCGAGACCTATCCATGCCACCAAGCAGTATGGAAGAGAAGAACCAAAAATAATAATTACTATTTCACCATGACAATAAATATTGCTACCCAATCTTTCAAAATCTCCTACTTGATGTTCCGGATCTATTTCCGAGCCTCCGACGTTGCTTTTTGTCCTCATTTTTTATGGACCTGAGCAAAACGAAGGGGAGGCGTTTTAAGTACAGAGTCTAGTCTAGTCTAGTCTAAGTTGATCTATTTCATCCTGGGCACCGGCTACCGGGCCTAATGCAATGCAAGCGCCGCGCCGCCATGTAAGCCACCTGATCCATCTGGGTTTGTTGCCACAGGAATCGCAAGCGAGAGTTCGGAAAATGAAACAGCTGAAACTGTGCTTCGTTTTGCCGGTAGTTTCTGATACCAATAGGGACATTTGAGGGTTATAGAAGTTTTATCCAAAGATGATGAGAGATAAGGGTAGTGGTAGTGAATAACATACATAAATTCGACAGACAGATAAATCCAAAA